AAAGAAACACAAAATTACTGCACTACATGGATTATACAATGGCTCATTTTAACTTAGGAATGTTGATTCATGGCTAGATTGTTGTTTGTGAATATTTTACCGTAAGCTGGACAGGAAACGCATAACAAAACACTTTTTTGGGACTTTTGTTTTAATCGGATCAAACGGCGAGCTAAGAAAATAGAATTTTTAAAATCGAAAACAAATTTAACAGTTAGTGGATATATATCGATACATGTAAATAAACACATCATCTATGGATAGCATAACTACTAGTCTGTGACAAAAGAACACCATCAACACACTCCACTATGAACTTCGATTGAGTCCAACTACCCTGATTAAAAGGAGACAAAACTCAGCAGCCATCACGATATTTGGGTGAATTACAGCCAAAAGATCGCAAGTAAAAGTTCATATATCAAACAACTTCCTTAACAAACAGAATAAACAAAGTTTCGGAACAGTAAAAACAAAGTTAGAATTTACTTTCAGAGATGTCATTCCTTCAATTTTTGGAGGCGGTCCACGGCTTCTACTACTCATTTTTTCGACCCTTCCAAATACGAAATATGTGCAAACGCAACCAAACCGCAAGCACTACTTCAATACACCATAAACGAGGACCATTCCAATGTACCTGTTGATCAGACAACAACAGGTCACGAGCAGAACTGATTAATCACAGTAATAACGCAAAATCAGTTCCGTAAAAATTGACAATACCGACCTAGAAAAAGTAAACAAATCTGATCGAATTTAATTAAGTTAGAGAAAATTCAAGCACAGCTAATCTTTAACTTTTGTTTATTATTCATTAGCAGGTTAAGGTAGTTCGCAAACTGCTGTTCTACAACTGTATTTAAGATGGGCGGCCTATCTACATTTTTAAATGTGATTAACTGCAAACGACTACTACTGTCCCAGCTATACTGCCCCGCATAAAACTTAAAACTCTCGGTTATAACGGGGATTGTTACTATCAGTACCAGAATCTATCGGATCATTTACTACATTGAGAAACTATAAACGCCGAAGCTCCTGGCATAGGCAATCGCATATAATCAGATACAGCTAACCATTTTACTCAACATTTTATCCATTAATTCCCTGCATTGCTGGATCCATAGCCGGTTCAATATCGTACCAGA